TTTTTTTTTTTTTTTTTTTTTTTTTTTTTTTTTTTTTTTTTTTTTTTTTTTTTTTTTTTTTTTTTTTAACTTTCAAGGACTTGCAGCCTCGAGATGAAGCCACGTGGAAAAAGTGGTGCTGCCCTCCTTTTTATTTATTTATTTTTTTTATAAAAAAATATTTTAAAATCAATAATATATTTAGAGAGACGGTGGTTTTCCCTTCTTTATTTTATTATTTTCTGAAATAAGTATTTGAGTATATTAATTTGAATTACAATTAAACTATGTTGACTTTGAAGACCCTCTAAATAAATTAAATTAACTCATTAAAATAATACTTCTATTATTTTCTTCATTTCTTTTCAATTAAATCAAACTAATTATAAGTTAATATCAAAATTTCAAAGTTCCATAATTATTAAATCATCAATTTTATAAAAAAATAATTGATGTCTTATTCTATAAATTATATTCATTTATATCAATATTAAACATTGCATTTTTTAAATCATATTTCATTTTGGTCAAAGCCTAATATCGACCCATAATAATAATAATAATAATAATAATAATAATGGTATGATGATGATGATGAACAGGTTGAGTTGAGGGTGAAGCAGGCTCCGGTCAAAGTCCGTGGTTTTGACCAAGATGAAAATGATTAAGAAAATAAAATTGGAAAATTTTCTTGTTCCACGCGGTCCAATTCCAATTTCCACGCGTAATCTTCTTCTTCTTCTTCTTCCTCTTTGTTTTTGAGTTCAAACCTTCCCATGGTTATGGAGTTCTTCTTCTCCAGTAGAGTCGAGGAGGATCCCAACGACGGCCGTCCCAGACTGCCGGAGAGTACTGCGCCGCCCATTTCGTCTAAGTTCAGTTCGACTCCGACTCCGAATCCGCCATTGTTGTCGGCCATGTCTCAGCCTCTTTTCTCCCCTTCTTCCTTCTTCACTATCCCTCCAGGGATCAGCCCCACCCAACTTCTTGATTCCCCTGTTCTTCTTACCTCCTCTAATGTAAGTTCTACTTTTAATTTCATTTTATTCTTTTGGTCTTCTCTTTCATTTCATCACCAACTGCTGCTCATGATTTTATCTGCAGTTTCAGGCATCGCCGACCACCGGAGCAATTTCGACCGGCCACCACCAAAAGAACATGAAACAAGAACAACATAACTTAGCTGAGTTCTCATTTCCTCGTACAAATCCCACAAAATCATCATCGTCATCATCAATTATGTTTCAATCGTCTTCAATGGTACGTTGAACAGAAAATACAAGAACAAAACATGGAAGATTCAAATCCCTTCTCTTTTTTAACCTCTATTCCTTCAAGCTGTTTAAATATTTTCCAAATTTAAAGCACACAAACAAATTCTTAAAAATTGTTTCCTAACCATTTTGTTTTTTTTTAAGGTAATCCATTAATTTTAAGTGATTAGAATTTATTCGAAAAGAATGAACATCCGAAAATTAAACCCCTCAATCATTAAGTTTCAAAACGAGAGTTTACTTTCTTGAATTTGAGAATAGGTATTTGCATGAGAACCCTTTAGATTATTTTTTTAATGTTTTCTCTATAATTTGATGAACCGAACTTAGATCGAACCAGGATTTCACAATTTGGAGAACAAGTATCACGTGTGCCATCGAGTTACAATACTTCTGTGTTGACTTTAATTTTCCTTATTCCTTAAGTTTGTTCTCATAGTCCAACAGTATTTTTATATATAGAACCTCGTAACACATTGTCTATTTGGTACTCGATTATCTTCTCTTAAGCTTGCCCATCAAATTGGTCGAGATGAGTCTAGTATTTTTATCCTTATATATCAATTTTTGGGAGTTTATTTCATGTTTTTGGACTTAATTTTAAGTGTTCCAAACTAGTCATTGAATTATTCTTATAAGGTTGTGGTTGAATTATTCTTAAGGTTGTCCATCAAATCTTGACTCTAAATTTCCAAATTTTTAGTTAACTTGATTTTGTCGTCCCTTTACAGCAGCAAAATCAGCCATGGGTATCTCAAGCCGCCTTCAATTTCCCCCCGGAGACCACCATGAACGGCGGTTCGAAATCCGACCAGCACCCACCATCTCAACCAAAAAACAGAGCATCTGACGACGGGTATAATTGGAGGAAATACGGCCAAAAACTTGTAAAAGGAAGTGAAAATCCCAGAAGCTATTACAAATGTACACACCCTACTTGCCCTGTTAGAAAGCAAGTCGAAAAATCATTGAACGGCCAAATTACAGAAATCGTTTACAAAAGTAAACACAATCATCCAAAACCAGAGTTCCCAAGAAGATCATCATCGGCTTCTTCTTCTTCTTCTTCTTCTTCTTCTTCTTCATGGCTATCACAAGCTTTACCTCAAACAATGGCGGCAGAGCCAAAGCATTCAATGGCCTCTGATTCCATTCCGACGCCGGAGAACTCTTCAACCACGATTGGGGATGATGATTCCGATGAACAGGATGCAAAAAGATGGTTTTTTTCGAAACCCCATTTGATTTTATTTCATTTTTTTCAAGAAAAATCTTGTTTGATTCACATTTTTGTAGGAAAAGCGAGAGCGAGAACGAAATTATATCGGCCGCCGGAGGGAAAACGGTGAGAGAACAGAGGGTTGTGGTTCAAACGATTAGTAGCGTTGATAAACTAGACGATGGATATTGGTGGAGAAAATATGGACAGAAAGTTGTGAAGGGAAATCCAAATCCAAGGTACATTCAAACATTTTACGTACTCAATTATGGTTTAACACACGTATATATATATCTTCTGCCACACCCACGCTCCGAGCACGATGCACTGCACATAGGCATATGCTTGGGGTGTGGGCGTGGTGGTCGGAGGCCGAGGGTGGTTGATGGCGGCGGTGCGCGTGCACCCACACACCCCACCTCCCTCCGCATACTCCCACATATTTGATCATTTATTATAGGCGAATATTTTGTATGATTGTGATCGAAGATACTATTACGATTTATCATAGTTATCATATTTTACCCTTTATTATAAGTAAATATCGATACTGAACTTCCATTACGGATTACCATTACGAACTATAGGTATCATATAAATATCTTATACCTATTTATTGATTGATTTAATCATGAAAGTTTATAATTTTAAAGTTGATCAAAAGCTATATTGATGAACTCAGGAGCTACTACAAGTGCACGTACGCAGGCTGTGGAGTGAGAAAGCACATAGAGAGGGCGTCCCACGATTTAAAGGCAGTCATGACTACCTACGAAGGCAAGCATAACCATGAAATTCCGGCAGCCCGCGGCGGAGGTAGCAGACCAGTATCCAATAATCACGGCAATGACAACGGTCGTGCATCAAACGGGGGCGGCCACGTATGGCCGAGTTCCGAGATTTCTGGTGGCGATGATGCATTCTCTAACATGCTGTGGAGGACCAAAGAAGAGACCGCCGATGAGATTTTCCGGTCGTTGTTAGACTGATAAAAGAGTGTTCCTAGGTGGGACACTCATGAAAGTAGGTTTATGTTTATAGTTTAATTAATTAACATAGATGGATAAAAATGACATGTTTAGTTAAGATATACTTACAAATATATGCTTACATGTTAATGATTTGTATTAAGACCGTGTTCGAGTTTAAATTCAAACGTCTAATTTCTTTGATTAAATGTATAAATCTTAATACAAAATGACATGAATACGTGTCGCTAAAACGCTATCTTTAGCGACGTTGACCTTTGTTGCTACATTTGTCGATATTGTTGTATAGTGGTAGATTTCTGTGATACTGTGAATGCGTGTGCTAAAACATTACCTTTAGTAACGTTAGAGAAATGATACTTAATGCTATATATTACCGTAACTATAAGGTAACAATCTAGCAATACCGAGGCATGAACGTATAAATGAACTTTTGGACTTTTCTGGGTTCATGCAGTATCATAACTGCATGATAGTCATAGCACTAATAAGTTAAAGAGTTTCTGGGTTCATGAGTGTCTCATAAATTTATCTTTGAATTTCTCTGCATGACAAGCTTATTAGAATTTCATTGTAGAATTGTGTGATTCAACATTGTACTTTTTCAACCGTGCGGCGTTGTGATCTTGACACGTTCATGACTAGCTTTAAGGAAACTCATGCTTTATATTCATTTTTT